ACTCTACACTTGCCCTTATCGAACTTCATTAAGTTTCTTCCTGTCCAACTCCAGCCTGTCCAGGTCATGCTGGATGGCAGCACAACCTTCTGGCATGTTGACCAATCCACCTAACTTTGTATCATCTGCAAACTTGCTCAGTGTACATTCTGTCCCTTCATCTCAGTCTTCAATTAATATATTGAACAGAACTGGATCTAAAACTGGCTCTTGAGGGACACCACTAGTCACTGGCCTCCAGCTGGACTCAACCCCACTGACCTCAACTTTCTGGGCTGTCTCCTTCATCCAGTTCTGAATCCATCTCACTACTCACTCATCCAAGTGTGGTTGTAAGGATGCCTTGGGAGATACTGTTGAAAACTTTGGTGAGGTCAAGGTAGACCATGTCAACTGTCCTCCCCTCATCTATCTATCTAGTTATGTCATCATAAAAGACTATCAGATTGGTCAAGCATGACTTCCCCTTTGTGAATCCATGCTAACTACTCTTCTCCTCAACATGCTTTGACATGGCATCAACAATAAGCTGTTCCATCACCTTTCCAGGGATGGGAGTGATGCTGGCTTTCCTCCAGTACTCAGATAACTCTCACGTTCTCCAGGAGTGTTCAAAGATGATGGAGGGTGGCCCATCAAAGGCTTCTGCCAACTCCCTCAGCACCCATGGGTGCATTTAGCTGTTGAACCTACCAAGGCCGTAAGGTTTTCTTAGCTCCAAGTCTTGGTTCCTAATCTTATTGTTGTGGATCCCACACTCAAAAGCCACATTAGTAATACTTAATTATAGGTATTTTAAACCCTTCTCTCTCACTGGGTGTTACACTGGAAAGCAGAGTGGCCACAAATAAGATGTCAGTTCTCTGCTTTTGTACAGAAATTGCACAGAGGAGTACTTGTTAACTGGGACTAAAAGTCATGCCAGAAAACAATCTAGCAAACAAAATGCAAGAGAAAACTGAGTACAAGAGCCTGGGAAAGGCATTATTTCATTTTATAGTATAGATATAGGCTGAGAAACACATACTGGTTTTGCAGCAAAAAGCTTCCAAATCCCAGTTGGCATTTGTTTTTGTGAACCAAAGTGGTTGAATGGTTTTGGGTTTTATTTTAGTCTTTTCAATAAAACTTTTTTAATAATCTAAAGAGCATGTGTACTGAGAAGTACAGAAATACTTCTAGACCATGAATACGTTTAGGTGTCATTGCTTACACTTGTGAAGTTTGTTTAAAGGCAACTGTTTTCTTCGGGACCAGGTTCTCAGATTGAATCGGTGGTGAACCTATGAGCAAAGTTTTAAAGCTAGCTGATTCTGCCTCTCTAAAAATGGGAGTCTCCTTGATCATTACTGCCTACAGCAGGTAGGCAGGCAGTAGTAGCAAGGGGTGAGGTGATAGGAGAAAAGTAGATCATGCTGTATTGAGTTGCTCTTCCATAAAAATTTGGGTAGCCACTGAATGCAATAAAGTCTCTCTCTAAATGGTTTGTTGTTTGGGGTTTTTTTTTAAGACTTTTTTTTCTCATTAATTGCTAGTAACTTTTCAGTATAATTAGAAATAAAAATACTATGTTTGAAATTAGCTATATTCTGCTGATGACAAACAACCTTGAATGAAATCTGGATCTTGTACCTTAACTAACCTCAGCTGTGCTAACAGGAATAGACAGAACTGAAGATTAATTTCTTTTAAGAAATAAAGTAATCCTGTTTGATTTTGAAAGCACAGGGAGAGCAGGCTGCTGCATTTCAGTATGTTTTTTTTCTGCACAGTCACTTTTGAATTCATAGAGATTCCTTCATATTTTTAATTTCATTGTTGAATTTATCTTAAATTTGAAGTCAAATTGAACATTTATAGTACATGAGCAGAGAAAATAACATGAGAGTCCCTGGGCTGCTCATTTTCCACACAGAATCACTGTGAATGTCTGTGTCTTTTGTCAGGTTGTCTGGTTCATATTCATGTGCAAGTGCAGTAGCTAATGTTGCATCAAAAATGTGTGATACCTCTCTGCATTCCATGAGGTGGAATCCTTAGCAAAGGTAAATCTCTGCTGCAGCCAACAAATGTATTTGACAAACAGTTTATGACCTAGTAGATGTAAGTGTCTGCCGTGAAACTAATGATGGATGAAGCAAGACAAGTTATCTCACAAGATTTCCAGTTGGGCTAAAAATGATCTACCCTGTGAAATGTTGTCAAGTTAATTTCTAATCTTAGTTAGAAAACTGAGGTTGGAGTAGATAGTGCTGAAAAATAATGTCATGAAAATCTGTTGTAACGTTTCAAACCATTTCCTATATCCATTCTTAACTTACTACATAAGGTGCATAGGGAGTTGCAGAGCTATTCAATCACTTTCGTATTAACAGAAAAACCCCATGTGCACAGCTTTTCTTTGAACTACTGCCTGTGTTAAAGAGAAATTCTGGCTATTACTGTCTATATAACATCATTCACCCTTGTTTGTTTGGTTTTTTTGCCAGTACATTTAGAGATTTATTTAAGTGCGAGGGACTTTTAACTGATCCTGAGCAGCTTTACAGATGAATTTTCTTGCAACCTTACCTTTCTGACAGCATTTGATTAAAATGAAGGGAATACATAACAAACAGCCCTTAGTCTTCTACACTGCTTGTCTTTGTTAAAAGTGGGTGCTGTAGAGCTGCAAATGTGGATCTGCAAGAATAGTCATCAAGATAGTACTGATCTGTTCCAGAAGGATGTCAGAAAGTTTTTAAAGTCCTTTTATGTTCATATGCCTAAGAATAGTGACCTGGGCTGTAGCTCTAAGAGAATAACAGATGAAAGACATGAAAAATATGTGAAGATTAATCCCACAGCCTGAGGTATTTTCCAAGAACAGATTCTAATTCTATTTTTTCCCTAAAATCTGACCTAGTTGCAGTAGGAGATAGTGCAAGTCAATACAGTCAATGACCTTAAAGCTGACATAAGAAAATAACGTGAAAAGGTCTAATTATTGTAAAGGCCACAGGATAAAATATTCATTTTAATTTCCAGGAGCCAATGGAAATGCAGCACAGCTATGAAAATTCCTTGGTGGCTTTCAGGCATGTTTGATGTTTGCTTTATTGGGTCAACAGTAGTAAAATTTATATTTATTTAAAATTTCTTTAAATAAGTGAATTGTAGCTGAATTTTTAACAACGAAGGAAGGGGAAGATTAATATATATTTAATAGAGCACTTGCTTAAAATTAAGGGTAGGAAAGCATTTCAAGGAGGTATGAAAACTGTCTCCAATATTCATCCAGTTTCAGAACGATACAAGAAATGTAGTAAGCTATGGACAACTATTACTTAAGAGTAATACAGCTCCTACAAAAGAAACTACAATCAGATCTAATTCCAAAATGCTTTAAAAGGAGAAAAAATTACCCAAAAGTGTATTTTAAATGGAATAGTTATACACAAAAAATTTTCATTTTAGGACCTTGTATAATTTAAATTGACAGAGTTTTTTAGCTCAAAATATCAAATTTAAATGGAAAATATATTAAAAATTATTTAAAATGTTGGAAGCATGACATTTCCAATGGAAAAATCTTTTATGTCATGAAATCTCAGGGATACATATTTTCAATGTTTCTCACTGGTAAAAAAATAAAATCAGATGGATTTTTTTTTTTCCACTTTGTGTGAAATAAAAGTATTCAGTCAGTAAGTCTCAGGTTTTTACTGCCACTTTTGACATCAAAAGTAGCAGAAATAAAAATGTTCAGCATTTTGCACCTTAGCTTTCTATTTCTGTTTTCCCCCCATTCCATTCAATTTCAGGTTTAACAGATTTTACCAAGAGCGTGTGCTTCCTTGAAAATCTCGCTCATTCGGTGATTCCGCAGTAAATGGAATACATTGGCTTTTGACAGCAATTTTACACTGAAATAACTGTGTTGATTTTTGTTATATGTTACCCTTTTGTACATTAGTGAAACTGAGGAGAGACTCAACTGCAGCAGGATTCAGATGGCCTGGAATTTGCTCCCTAATCAGAAGTTTTACTTTATCCATGCGATTTGCTGTAATATCACCATTCACAGGGTGGGTGGGCAGAGCTTTTAAATATAGATTTGTATTTGTATAGACAGCTTCATAAGCTCATATCAGGTACTCTCTCTAAGAGGGCCTGGTTTTGCCTATGGGCAACTGCTAGTAGCAATCAAAATGATGGTCATGTATTTTCTGGTATGTCTTCAAGCATGATTCAAAAGAAGGTGGTAACTTGAAATCCAGCATGACTAATGTCTATATAGGCTTCATTTATTTTTGAATTTCAAGGATAAATGCACAGACCTAATATAAGTAAACTTTTAATAAGTATGCACAGGATTTCTAGTGCTGTTGAGAATTTTAAATGCCTGCCTAAGATAAAGCATGGGCAAAACTAGTGTTTTTCTTTCCATATTCAATTTTTAGAGCCAATGTGTTTTTATAGTCAGAACCAAAAATAAATAAATAAATATATGAAAGGATTTGAGGTAGGAAACAGGTACTCTCATTTGCTTTTGAAAACTCTGTTTTGAGCAGACAGTGAAGTGGTAGTTAAAGACATGGTGCATTTCTCTAGATTCTAAAGGGGAACTTTCTAGAACCATTATAGCCCGCCACAACAGAATTTTACTTGCTATCATAATTTGTCTCTAAATCTAAGTTACTATTTAAGTTTCCTTCTGTAATAGAAATACGTTGTTGGCTTCAATCCCATGAGTGGAAACTCATGTTTGTTTAAAAAAATGTAATTTCTCTCTCTTTCAAATAACTGACATTTTCCCTCGGAAGCTCATGCATTAGTGGAAGAATTTTAAAGAGAATTTTATATTGTCAGCTCCAAAGTGGTAAAAACTAAATAGATGTTTTATATATGGTGTCTATTTTCGCTGTCTATTACTTATTTTCAATGTCTTGCAGGTGCCTTTGCTAACTCACTCTGATTTCCAAAACTTTGCCTTACTAATATCAAATACTTGCTTTCAGACATCAACATGGCAGGAGAACCAAAACCATATAGACCAAAACCTGGCAACAAGCGGCCACTTTCAGCACTTTATAGGTAAGTGAGTTTTCATCTGAAATTATTACAACTCAATTTTTATTAGAAAAATGATAGTAACCGGAAATGTATCTACTAATGTCACTCTGACCCATGAACAAGACAAAGGAAGGGGCTGCAGTTTTAAACTGTAAGAGATATTACACATGAAGTCTTGCTATACTAAAAAGCTATTTGAAGACATGTTTGACACTGACACTCTTTTATGATGAAGTAGCAATGCAATTGCTTTGCACAGGTTTTGTTACAGGGATGCTGACATCACTTGGGGTTGTGCTTGGTAAACAGTAAGTGCTCTCAGACCCCACTCAAGTGCTCAGTCTGGAATTTAATCTTTGAATTTAAATATGTTATGCATTAAAAATGGATCTATTTATTTGTTCATGCATTGCTAATTTAAATTTCCCTCCATACCTCTTGTTATTTTTTCTGAAGTGAAAATGCAAGTGCAGCAGAAGAGAAGCAGAGTTTATGCTCACATAAAAATGTAATGTTTAACAAAATCATAATCAAGTTCACAATAAAATTATAAAACTGTCATTTACTAAACCTAGCAACAAAAAGACCAGTCTAGTGACGTGTGAGGTGTTTATTAATGTCTCCACTTATAGTCCTACAATCAATGAATTTTTTGTTCTTTTTTTTAAAAAAAAAAATGGGTGAAATTTCAGTTTTTCATCCTTATGATTTATTTCTTGGCTATGTTCTTGTTCTAGTGACTTTTTTACTTGCAGGGTTCGTAAAATAAGTAATAATTTCAGAGCAACAGAACTGATTTCTCATTGAGTTACATGTCAAGGGTGAGAACCAACTTCTAACAAGACTGCGCTTCTTCCTGAAGTGTTTAGGAGAGCACCAATAGTGTCTTTCTTCTATTCACAGTAGACTGTTTTTCATATGGCTTGTACAAACCTGAAGAGCCCCCTACCTTTTTTACAAACTCCATTATGTGTAGTGAAGCATTCCAGGTTGTTAGGGGGATTGACAGACGTATAAGCATGCATTTCTGCTCAATAAAAGTACTACAGAATTTGTGCTCCAGATCCATGAGAGTAATTAGGGTTGATTTCTTCTGTGGCTGAAATGCAAATAGACTGGCTCTGTTGGTGACACTTTAGCAGGACTTTTTCAAACCTGATCTGGTCTGAAAGCTTCAGCTGGAAATTCAAGGCTGGGATCTCAAAATGAGGCATTCAGGAGCATTTTAGATCTGAGCCTGCATTCTACATAATAATAATAATGTGAAGTTTTACCATACAGTTGCCTTGAGCTGATGTGATACAGGTATTATTTTTAGAGCAGAGAACATTTTTGGAGGGATATTCTGTATCATATAACATTATGAGCAGAAATAAAAGCTAGGGAGGTTTTTCCTTCCTAAGTAGCTGTTGCTTGGAGACTGCCTGGGCTGCTTGTAGGAGGTGGAAAGTAATTGCCTTTGCTTCACTTTTTTTTTTTCCCCTCCTTCCTTCCCTTATTTATCTTAGCCCATGTATTTTTATTATTTTTTTTTTCCACTTCTTCTCTTCCTATTCCTGGGAACAACAGTGAGGGGTGACATAGTGACTGCGTGAGTTCTTAGCTGATGGCCAGGGTCAACCCACAACATGGAGAAAGTGAAGAGGGAAGTGGTTACTTCAGGTTTGATTTTGACTGAGAGAGGCATTGGTTAAAAATTTAGTTCTTGCCAAACATCACTGTGAAAAGGGAGAACTGAGAGCTGTAGAAATAGGATAAAGGATTTCAGAAAGGACAGACTTCAATGACCTCAGAGGACTGGTAAGTAGGATCTTCTGGGAAAAAAATTTAGGGACAAAAGGAGTGCAGAAAATCTTGCACCGACTGTGCTTAACAGAAAATTCTGCTAAAGCAGAAGTAGAATAAAGGAATAATATGACAGCATGAAATTTCTTTAATATCTTTTAAAGTAAAAAGAAATCATACAAAATGTGGATTCAAACCCCTATGACTGGAAATCAGTAGAAAAGAGGAGAAGAGTCATCCAACAGGGCATCGGAAAGATTAAGACACATGAAGTTATAAAAGGCAACAAAAAAAAGCTTGTCATTAGAGTAGCTTTCTCTGCTCTTTTGTATTGCCATTACTTAGCAAAAAACGAGACCAGATAGTAGATGATACAGAAAAAAAAGCTTTAGAAAAATAGATTACTTGACCAGCTATTTTAAAGAATCAATTTTAATGAGAGAGTGTGGACTAAAACAATTGGTTAACCAGTATTTGAATAAGTGAATTCAATGGAAAAGGTATGAGATTCACTCCAGGGTGTTCAAAGGACTAGCTGAATCTCTGTGTGGACTATTAGTTACTGCTTTCAAAAACTTAAGAAGGTCAAATAAGGTAGAAAAGCAGTGGGTATGGACAGGCATTATACCTATTTTTAAGAAGAGGAGGACAGAGAAAATTATCTATTCAGCCCAGCGTTGATTCCCAGAAATGTACTAGAACAAATTACTAAACAATCAATTTACCAACACCTAGAGAATAAGAAGATGGTAAAAAATCCATGGTAGAATTATTGGGAGCAAATTATGTTGAAGCAATATAACTTCCTTCTTTGAAAAGGCAGTCAATTTAGTGGATAAAGAAGAAACAGTAGATGTGCTATATGGTCATTTAAACAAGCTTTGACACTTGCCACATGTGGTGTTTTCATAAGCATGTTCAGGAAGTTTGGCTTGAAGAAAGTGTTCTAAGGTAGACATTCAATGGGTCAGAAAAACAATGTCTGTGTACAACATAGTAGTAAGGATAAAAACTATTGTTTGTTCAGTCTCGTTTGTTAGAGATTTTTAGGCCTGATGTGATGCCCATCCACAAGAAAGGTCGGAAGGAGGATACAGGGAACTACAGGCCTGTCAGCCTGACCTTGGTACCAGGAAAGAGCATGGAGAGGCTCATCTTGAGTGAGCTTACATGGCAAGTGCAGGAAAACCAGGCGATCAGGCCAGGCCAGCACGGGTTTATGAAAGGGAGGTCTATCTTGACCAACGTGATGTCCTTCTATGACCATGTGACCCACCTATTAGATGAGGGGAAAGCTGTGGATATTGTCTGCCTGGAGATTCGTAAGGCCTCTGACACCATCTCGCACAGCATTCTCCTGAAGAAGCTGGCAAATCATGGCATAGACAAGTGTACTCTTCACTTGGTAAAAAAGTGGTTGGATGCCAGACCCAGAGAGTTGTGGTAAACAGGGTCAAATCTAGTTGGTAGCCGGTCACCAGTGGTGTCCCTCAGAGCTCAGTTTTGGGGTCAATTTTGTTCAAGGTCAATTGAATGATGCTGAATAAGGCCAAGTGTCGGGTCCTGCATTTTGGTCACAACCCCAGGCAATGCTACAGGCTTGGGAAAGAGCAGCTGGAAAGCTGGCCCAGGGGAAACTCAGGGTGCTGGTTGACAGCCAGCTTAACATGGACCAGCAATGTGCCCAGGTGGCCAACAAGGCCAACAGCATCCTGGCCTGCATCAGGAATAGTGTGACCAGAATCAGTAGGGAAGTGATTGTCCCCTTGTACTTAACACTGGTAAGCCCACACCTTGAGTACTGTGTTCAGTTTTGGGCCCCTAACTGTAAGAAGGACACTGAGGTGCAAGAGTGTGTTCAGAGGAGAGCTACCAAGTTGGTGAAAAAATAAGGAGTGGCTGAGGGAACTGAGTCATTTAGTCTGAAGAAAAGGAGTCTGAGGGGAAGCCTCATCACCCTCTGCAACTGCGTCCAATTCTGGGCTCCCCAGAGAAACAGGAAACTACTAGAGAGAGTCCAGTGGAGCGCAACAAAGATGACTGGGGATCTGGAGCATATGTCTTATGAGGAGAGGCTGAGAGACCTGGGAAATTTTAGCCTTGAGAAGAGAAGGCTGAAGGGAGACCTAATTAATGCCTGCAAGTACCTAAAGGGTGTGTGCAAGGAGGGTGGAGCCAGACTCCTTTCCGTATTTCCCAGTGACAGGACAAGGAGCAACAGGCACAAGCTGGAACACAGGAAGTTCCATTTAAATATGAGGAAAAACTTCTTCACGGTGAGGGTGACAGAGCCCTGGAACAGGCTGCCCAGGGAGCTTGTGAGAAGAGGAGGCAGTAAAGCTGATTGATTTCTAAGGATCAGCTCCTTTATGTAAAAAATGGTTCATCCTAATGAACAATAAATCAAGCAAAAGCAGTAGGTGACCTGTGTGGATGAACAAGAAGCTCCTGAAAACAAACAAACAAGCAACAACAAAAACAATCTAACAGCTACAAACCCAAACAAACAAACAAAAAAACAACAACATAAAAAAATGGCATTAAAAAGTGGAAGTATCAACAGGTGACCTGGGAGTTATATGGAAACATTGTCTAGGCATTCAGGGACAGTGTTAGAGCACTATGAGAGCAGGTCAGTGTCACTGAGAAGCAACTTGATCCACAATAAAAGAACCTCCATTTTGGATTGGGCCTTTAAAATATTTGGAGAACAGCAAGGTTTAGGCTTTGCTTCAGAAGGTTGCTAAACACACTAACTTTAAGCGCACTCACTGAAAAATTACAGATATGCTTAGGGTAGTGCTCAGGGATCGGCTAAAATCTAACATAACTGTTATCTTCAGCAGCATTCCTCCTGATTTGCATTGCTATTCAGTATGTGAGGGAAGGCCTAAATCCCAGAAGGTTCAAAACTGTTGTGAATTTCCTTTTTTAGCATAGCACTTCTGCAGACAGCCAAATGCCTGACAAATCTGCATCTGAAAATTATTTTGCATCTTGCTTTTGGGTTTAGCCTCAAGCAGAAGTTAATTTTACTGGCTAATCTTCATTTCTTTGAAGAACAAGGTGCGGATTAAAGGTGCTGACACAAATGTGTTAATGCAGTCTTTGGGAGCATTGTTGCAGTAAAATAAAGGATCACAATTTGTCTTAAAAAGACAAAGTGGTGTTTTGATCAGTATTTCACTAAAGCACTTCTATGTCTGCATCTGAAAGTCCATTTATTGTTGTTTTTT